GGGCGCTGCGAGGAGCTCGGGAAAGATGGCTCAGCGTTCGTGTTCAGAAAGTGGCGGGAACGGTAGCAGAAGCGTATTAGTACTGAGGGAGGTTACTTCCAAAAAGAACATGTCAGTTGGGAAGATTGAATATTTTTTGGGGGAGAGCGTTTTATCATTACTTTTTGAACAACCTTCGTACAATAAACATAAAATAAATGACACAAGTAAAAATGTAAAATTGGGGAGATTGACAATTCACAATCTAACAAAATTTAAGTAATGACAAGATGCTGGAATAAGTAGCTATTGTGACTGGGGTTTAGTTCTGACATGAACAGTTTCTAGTGTGAAATGAAATTTCAGCTTACATGTGAAATGACATATAATACACAGTTGGCATTATCCCCCCCCCTCCAAACGTGATGTGGAAATGAATGCTGTGTGCGCCTCAGATGACCCAACTCTACGGTGTAGTGGTACAGGGGAATGAGAGTCAAAAGTGAACGGTGTTATGCATCAATTGACCTAGCGCCAAAACTTTATTTCGAGATATTAACACAAACAAACTAATAATAGGAATTCACCATACGTCCCAAATTTTATTTTGTAAACGGCAAAATAATCCAAATGAATTAAATTTACATCCTCATATCTTAAGAACATGAAAGTATAGCGAAACACTCTATTTATGTAGAAATGGCGCTGGGTCAGTTGATGCTTTAATAAACAATTTTCATATCCGTGTTTTGCATTATCTGCCTCCAAGCCAAAACATGACTCAGTCAAGTGATGCAAATTAAAGAAGTAAGTAGTGCCGTTTCTTGTAATATTTTACAAGATACGTTAAGATTGTACTTGCTTATAATATATTTAATCGTAATTAATTGATGTATAAAGAAAACATAATTACTATTGAACGTTTCACATTTTATTTGCCTATTTATTGAAGTATCAACTTGTATTTTATTGAAGTAACAACCTATGAAATTCCTTCCTTATATGATTAAGAAAATTAGGAATTTTTTCTAACGCAAAATTACAAATATTGCTGGAAAGAAATAATAATAATAATTGACAATATTATAATAAAAGCTCTTACAAAGCGTAAATATAAATATACGATTTCTAGGAATTGATATTAACCACTTTTGTGAATACTTCAAAAATGTAACATATAAATTAAAAATGCATATTATTTCTTAATTTGCCGTTTCACTACCATCTACAAAATCAAGTTGCAGGCTGTCGAAGTCGTCAATGTCATCCCCGAGATCAGAGTGGCTCTTTCAAATAATTTTATTTATAAACCAACAATACCTGTGAACCGTGTATGTACCCACATCAAATTAATTATAATGAGTTGTCTCTCACATTTGAACATTTATTTATCAAATTCAAAAAATAAAACATATTTAAATTTCATGGGTATAATATAACGTAGTCGTACAAATTTGTTTTGCAAGAACAGAATCTTTTGATTTTAGTTTGATAACAGTGCGCCGTCGAGCATGAACTCGTGCGGGTCTTCATTAAACCTTTTGCTGCTCGTCCAAGTAGTTATTCCTCAAGGAACATCTAAGATTAAGCCGCTCTTCAAACATAGCCACAAAGATAAAATTCAAAATGGCCGTTCAATATCTCTTTTGTCAATTTTTTCAAAAATATTAGAGAGACTCTTTTACGTACGAATAGAAACCTTAACACACATATTTAATATATCCTTATGCACAGTCTAATATGAGCTTTTTCCATATTTCCGCCATAATATTCTTTTCTCCTTTACTATTGAATTACCACCTGACTTTATCACAGTCGCGTCTCGTAGTTTTCTAAATGAAGGCTGAAAATTCTGAAACGCCGCAAGAACAGGCGGGCTGAAGCAGAGTGAGGAAGAGGGGCGCAACTGCGCGACTATATTAACGTTACATCCTTATAATTAGGAAGCGGATGTTGATGGCCTAAAACATTGCCAAAAATACTTGTAAAATGCTTTAAAAATGACATAAAAACAAAGAAAAATTACGTAGAGACTGATCAAAACTACTTCAGTTGAACAACTCAACCTCTTGGGTATGTTACCGATGTAACCGAAGCTTCTTCCTTTTGTTGAAGTGAACTCAGCTTGCAAACATTCGGTTTGGACCATGTGTTAAAATAAAATATCTGCTTTTATTTATCGCGAAATCGGCCGAACTGACAATGACGCCGATAGGCGACACAGGAACCTTTGATTACATAGTACTCACAAAGGCTTAAATTACAATATATGAGGAAAGAAAACGATTGGGCTACTCAGGAATTCTGTGGTGAACATTTGTTGAACCCCGTAAAAGATGTTGAAGTAAAAACTATATAAGGCAAATAATGACTTATTAGTCGAAATCGTCGACAAATGCAAAACAATGACGTATAAAAATGGGTTATTGCGTTTGTCTTAACATAATATGAATACTAAACGGCATTGATCTAAAGTGAAATAATACTTGACATTTCATTAAAAACCGCCCTACCTATATTTGGGTTATCTGA